TTAAAGGCTTTGGATTACCAAGTTGTCACAACTAAAATAACCCAAAAAATACTACGAGATTAACAAACTGTCACGACTAAATTAATCCTTAATTAGGAAAAATAAATAAATTAATAAAAAATAATAATTTAAAACTAGCTTGGGTCATCAAGCTGTCACAGCCAAAATGACCAAAAAATATGAGATTAACAAGCCGTCACAGCAAAATTAACCCCTAATTAAGTTTCTAAACTACATAAGAAAAATTCTAATAAAACAAATAAAGAACATACAAAAATAATAAACAATTATAAGAAAATTTCTAATAAAACAGATAAAGAGCATAAAAAAAGCATGCAAAAAAAAGCCAATTATAAATTAAAAAAACAGATAAAGAGCATAGAAAATAGACAAATTATAAACTAATAAAGCAAATAAAGAGCATGAAAAAGCATACAAAAATAAATAATTATTAACTAAAAGAGAAGGTAAACAAACTTACCTCAAATATGACAAAACTTGGAGTACAGAGCCAAGTTGTGGAGAACAACCTCAACTCAACAAGCTTGATGCCCCAAAAATGTACTATGAGGTTAACAAGTCGTCACGACTAAATTAATCCTCACAGATAAATAAGTTAACAAGTCGTCACGACCATAGACTGCGCATGACAATCATTCTGATTCCTGGCACTGTTTCTGAAAAGAAATGATTCTTTTCTATTTCTGTGCCTTAGAACAATTCTGAGAATCAGAATTACGTTTGTTAACATATTTTATTTTTATTCCGATAATCAAAATTACGTTTGCTAACACATTTTTTTTATTCCGAGAATCAGAAATACGTTTGATAACACAATAAAAATCTATTTTCTTTACTTTTGTTTATAGATTTCATCAATGTATAAAATAGCAAATGACAATAGATTTTAACTGAAATGCCAAATTTTATATTTAAAAAAATTATATAAAAATTTATAATATTTTATTATATATTTTTTTTACGACAAATGCTAACATATAGTTTTAACTGTTATTTTTCAACATTCTTATTGCCTCAATAGGGCGATCATCATTAACAAGCCCATCAATCATGGATGTCTAAGAAACAACATCTCTATCAGGCATTTTCTCAAACAGCTAACATGCAATCCCCAAATTCCCAAACTGAGTAGTAAGTACAAATGATTCATCGCATTCTGGATATACAAATTCGAACCAAAACCCATCTTATTCATAAACCTGTGAAGCTGTTTTCCTTGACGGTTCAGTTTAAACGGGCACAACACTTGAATATGGTGGGGGATGAGGGAATTTTTAACGAAATAATAAGGACAATCAAATAATTCTAAGGAGGGTGGTGGTCTCTGGTGATATGTTGAAGGACGGTGATGGGGTGATGGTTTGGTGTTGGTGTGTGAGGGGTATGAAGAAGAGAGGGGGAAAACTGATTCTATTTTTGTGCCAGGAATGAGAAAAGCAAAAAAAAATTGATTCTTTTTTTTGTTTTCCGACAAAAAAATTAAACCGGTTCATCTGGGGAACAAAAAATAAACCAATTTTACCAAACGAGTTTCTCATCCATTTTTATTCCCGGGAACATAAATTAAAAAAAAAAACTCATTCCGGGAAGGTTGTCGTGCACACCCTAACAAACTCCCCTAATTCTACTCAAAAATGAAATTTTTACTTTGACACTAGCTTGGTTTTAATCCCAAGCCCAAGTATCTTTAAAAAATATTACTATGACACAAGCTTTAATATAAAACCCAAGTGTCTTTTTTAACTCTTTGAAGAGTCTTTTTGTTTGGTTCTCTCCAAGGAGGTGTGTTGGAAGGAAGGGGAATGAGCTCTTTATATAGAGGGAAGGGAGGAGGAAGGAATGAGAAGTGGGCAATGTGGGACTTCTTAGAAAAGTTGTTTTTTCAATGTGGACAACTATTTTTTGAGAACCATATCTCACACTAGAGGGCTTAGCTTGAAAATCGGTTCGGTCATATTGAAGTATTATATGAGAGGAATATCCAAATAAATTTGAGGATGATCCAACAGTTCAATTGAGAGAAATAGAGCTCGAAAAAATGCTACCGAAACAGTGTGGTGGTCTAAAAAATGAACAGTCTTCTTTCGACATTTATATCTCACATCAAAGAACTCAGTTCAGAGATCCGTCTGGTCAGATTGTAGTATTACATGAGTGTAACACGCTGACAAAATTTAAGGACAATCCAACGATTCATTTGGGAGAAATGAACCTCACAAAATCGCTGCTCGTTACATAAACGTCCAGGAAAACTGTTCCAGTTTTGAATTTTCTGGGAATGATATAGGCTTTGAACCAAGAAATCCACCGGTCAATATGAAGAACAATGAGTCAAGATCTTGCTAAAAAAATTCCAGCTCGATCGGACGGTGGATGAAGGATATATCGTAATTGGAACAGGTCCTACTCAAAGCTATTATTTTTTCTGAATGGTCCTCCTTCCCTTTTCCATCTATTTGATTGCTCTCTTCCTTTTTTCCTTATTGAAGGACAAAAATATGTGTTCATAACTTAATTTTTTTTCTTTTCTTTTCATTTTATATTTTTTTTTTGTATTTTTTTGTCATTTTTTAAATATTTGAGACAAAATTGGGTGCTCACGTAAAGTTTATAACCTTTGCGGCAGAGAGATATAGAGGATTCACCTTTATACAGAGAGAGGAGATAGAGATTGGGCTTCGAATTTTTGGGGCTCATCTCAATGAGCACCTTAGTGAAAATAAAAAAAGTTGTTATACGAATATAGGGGGAAAATGAAAAGATAAAATAAAAATGAATTGCCATTAAATCTTACACACCGCTAGAGAAGTTTTAAAATTGTGGTTGTCGATAAATTACCATAAATTAATCATTTAAAGACATTTTATATTGATAAACCCAATATATATATATATATATATATATATATATATATATATATATATATTATATGAGTTTGGTGTTTGTCATTTTAAATGACATAAGTTATGTCTTTTTAGGAGAGAGATAGACACAAAAAAATGAAAATCATGGGGGAGAGAAAGTGAGTGGTTTTTTTTAATTTAAAATTCAAAATTTCTGTGTCTGTATCTTTCTTAAAATGACATAATTTTCTGTTATTTAAAATGACAAATATTTTTCATATATATATATATATATATATATATAAATTTGTTATACCAATACCCTTATTAAAGAAAAAAATAAATAAAGCATCTTAAATGAGAATGCGCACAATATCCTTTTGTTTAATGAGAGAAATATTTTTCCTATAAATAGGATATAACTTTATCTCAAGCATACACATGAAAATGGATAGAAGTGGGTGTAATCATATGCAAAGAACATAGAGAAAGAGAAAAACTAAAATTCATATTTTATTTCTTACGCATATACATGCATAGAAAATAAAAGGGAAAAGTAAGAAAAAAAACCATCCAGGGTTTTGTTTTGAATCACTTTTTTTCTTATTCACTTACACCGCTAGGGTTTGTTTCATCTAAATTTATCCTTAACATACATTGTTAGAAACTAAATTAATCTATCTATTTTGCCATTCTTAGAAGAAAAAAAGTAAATTAAGAACAAAAAAATAAAAGAAAAAATAAGATCAAATATGATGAAAACTTATATCATTTTACTCTCACAAAGAGGATGAGACCCACAAATTTATTTTATTTTTCCACTCTCTCTCCGCTTTATCTATCTCTTTCTCTCACTTAAAATAACACGAGTTTATATTCTTTAAAATGACATACATTTTTCTCTTATTTTTAAGCTGTTTTGGAAGACTTTGTCCAGGATTTCCGAGAAATTGAATTTTTCTAAATTTTTAATTTTCAGATATTATTGTAAACTGAATGTAAAAATTATATTTTTGAAAATCGAGATTCCCGAACAAAAAAAAATTTCTCTTTTACTAAACGCGTCGTAGTTGGAAAGAAATAACCCCGCGGGAAAACATACGCATTTGGAAATAAATTGGAGATAATTGTGTTGGAATTTTAAATAGTGAATATAATTGAGCTCCACGTGAGTCTGTCCGATGAAAATAAATTTTCTCATGTATTAATTATTAAATAATATGAATATTTTAGGTGAGGAAATTATAATCAATAATAAATTTGTAACTTTTTATTTTAATGTTTTTTTCTCTCATTCTTTATGATCATTAATTCTTAGAATTCACCTATATAATTTGATCATATTAAATAACACATTAGAGGATTTACTCTCCGTCAAATTTTTTTCATTTAATTTAAAAATATTGGCTGCTCGAAACCATAATATATCGTTGGGGTCACCTTTATATTTTTTCCCCAAAAAAGTACCGTACAATATTTTAAAATTGTATTAATAAAAATATATAAATTTTAATTTTAACGTAAGTTATATAATTTTAAATACAGTATTTATTTTTAAAAAAATTACCAGTATTTATTTTTATATAATTACCAATAAAGAATACTTTTAAATTTTGCAAAAAACTTTAATTAACAGACTAGAGATTTTTTTTTTTTTTTTTGGTAAGGACTAAAGAAAGTTGCTAAATTATACTCACAAGAAAGTTTATATTTGAACAAAGAAAGTCTAGGTTTTAGTTTTTCAGGTAATTGGTTCATTTTTTCAGAACTGATAAGGTTCTCTAATTTAAGCTGTTCAATTATTTTTAGACAATTAAATCGGTTTTTAAACAGTGTAACTTGATCAACAATTTCCACCACTTTTCATGGGTTGAACCTAACAGATTTTTCAAACATTGTAGAGCCCTAATTTAATAATTACTTTCATTATCCCTAATATATAGTGACGCACAGTATAATGTTTTTCCAATAGAAAAAGTTATTCAATAAAGATTAAATATAACGAAATTTAAATAAAACCTAAGAAATTATTTTGTTACCTTGAAACTTCTGGTGTTGTTTTCTGAATTGATTCAGTCCCTCCGGTGAGGATCTGGATAATCAAACTTCAAAGAAAACAATAACATCAAACGTGGATATTCATTATTTTTATATTGGAGTGAAACTTTACATTTAATTTAATACACATTACAAAAGATGACATGCATCTCCAAGTTCACTAAATACAAAGGAAGGACTCGGTCACTCGGAGAAGAAGAAGAAGAAGCAAACATCCTTCTTATTCATTCACAAAAATAAAAATAAAAACATCCGTATTCATATGATAGTGACACTCACTATTTAGCAAAACATTAAAATCCAAGCCAGTCCTATTATTATTATTATTATTCTTATAACTCATGGTGCTATGCCCCAAGAAGATGATCATCAGAGTCTTTAGTAACCTTGGTTAAGTAGTCCAAGTAGCCATAAGGAGGTTCAACATTCTCATTGATCTTCTCATATTCAATAGTCCATTTAACAGTTGAACCCCCATCGTTCTTATCAATCACTTGTAGGTTGCCCTTAAAGATCTTGTAATGTTGATCTATATCCCCTTCAAAGAGGTTGAATGTCATTGACTTGTTCTCTTCATCAAGGTCTTCAATCTTCTCCTTACATGTAACAACCTTACCGTCTGCGTTTTTAAGAATATAAAAATCAATAACAAATAGTATATGAATAGAAGAATGAAAAATAACTGCTTAATCAATCCTTTTTGCTTCACAAAATAATCCATAAAGCTTAATTAATTACCTATGGTATAACTCCAATGCTTAACAGAATCAGGGCCATGCCAATCGTCACCTTGAATCACCTTGCCTCCTTGTATTCTATCAGTGATGTTCTGAACATGGTGAAGTTGCGTAGAGAAGAGGTTGAAGAACTTTGCAGCAGGTGTCTTGATACCAAGTTCAGTAGTTATTTTACCAGTTAGAGCCATGATAACTCATGAACCAAACCAAATATAAAAAAGAAAAAAATGTGACAAAATAAGGAGAGAGATACTGAAGCTTATGCAGCACTATTGGTCCTTAAATAGAAAAAAAAAAAAAAAAAAAAAAGCTTACTATAGCAAACTCAATTATTTGATCATTAGTAAACGGTTTGCTAAATTGTGCTTTGGAATAAAATAATAAAACTGAGAAACTTCTACTTAACATTATCATGTTGATATTGAATTATATTCTCAAACAATAGAAAGTGGACGCATATCAATTGAAAGCACCTAACTCAATACAAAATTGACATGAAAAATTGAGCTGCTTTTTTATTTTTCCAAATCGTATTAAGCAGCAGCAGCAGCATATTAAGATACCTTTCCGGGTTCTTTCTTCTTCTCATATTTGTCAAAATCCATTTTTTTTTTCTTTTTTACAGTATCCAATGAGAAAATCATCTGACTTCATGGCTTGCGATGATGGTTGTAACTTGTAAGAGAAGCAAATCTCCTAGTGGCAGAGTAAATCTCAATATTATTTTTTAAAAGAATATAAGTATAAATATTTTCTTACATGCTAATAGAAATTGATTCATCAGGTAAATTAAGACATCTCGCATCAAAGGTTTTTGTTTGACTTTATAAATTTTCTGCGTTTTAAAATCATCGCACGATACTTGCAATACCTTTTGTAAGTCATTGATTGATGCTCGCATGAATCGAGGGATTCTTGCATGCCTCTTTAAATCATCGCTCTGATATCAAAGACAACTAGCTAGCGAGCGAAGTCATTGAGCAGCCGGATGACAAAATATCTGGTGGGACTGAGGTAAGAGAAAGAGAGGAAAGATTGAGGAGAGAGGAAAAAGGAAAAAAATTAATTTAGGTGTCAAATTTTAAATAGAAGAATCATGGTGGTCCTGGACCACATTAAAAAATTCCCCTAGCGACGATAAAAAGACAATCAAATAAAAACTACACAACTCATATATATTAAATAAATAAATTAGGAGCCCCAAGAAAACCAAGATGAATCATATGTAACTATGATGCATCAACATTTAAAAATTTTGACATATTGTGTCCGATACTTTGACATTCCCCGACGCTCCAACATGTGTTGCAGCGATTCAAAAAAAGGTTTAAAAGTTGTATTGCATTGCGTTTTTAGTTCTAACTATTATATTCGTTACATTACAATTACTATTTAATTGAGTTTAATATAAATATTTGAGAACTCTTATGTTTCTTTCAAAATTGATGTAGTATAAGTTTAGATTCTTTTTTATTAAATTATTAAATATTAAATATAATATACACTACATAAATTAAAAAAATAATTTAATATCTGAATGTGGCCTAACGTGTCAAAATCTATTTTTTTTTTTGAATTAACACATCAGAATGTCGTGTCATGTCATATCTTGTGTTTTGTATCGGTGCAATGCAAACAAGTTCCCTATCTCCATTTCTCCATCCTGAATGGGAAGAGAAAAGAAAAAGAAAATAAAAGTTATCTATTCTTCTAAAATTTATTATACCCTTATTAAGTTGTACACTTCCTCTATTCAAGAAAAAAAAATAAAGCATCATAAACAAGAACACGCGGAATATCCTTTGTTTAATGAGACTAATATTTTTTCTACAAATAGGAGATGACTTTACCTACTGCATACACATAAAAGTTGATAGAAGTGAGTGGAACCTTTTGAAAAGAAAAGAGAGAAAGAGAAAAAGTAGAATCCACACTTTATTTTCTGCACATATATGCATAGAAAATAAAAGGGAAACGTCAAGAAAAAGAAACTCCATAGTTTTGCTTTGAATTATTTATTGCCCTATATTTTTTCTTATTCATTTACACCCTAATGATTTGTTCCATCCAAACCTATCCTTTACATTGTTAGAAATTAAATTAATCTGCATATTTTACCTTTGAAGAAGAAAATAAATTGAGGACAAAATATAAAAGAAAAATAAGATCAAATATGTTGGAAGCTTACAACACTTACTGAAAAGACTAAAAAAAATGAAAATGAAAGAAATAAATAAGACCGAATATGTTGAAAAATTACAATAGTAACAAAAAAGATTAAAAAAATGAAAATAGAATTAAGACAAAAAAATAAAAGAAAAAAATAGACAAAAAAATGTCAAAATAAAAGTATTTTAGTCTTTTTTATCACTGTTATAAGTCTTTAATATATTTGGTCTTTTTTTCTATTTTTGTGTCCTGAATCTATTTCTTCATTTAATTTAGACATATTTGAAACTTTTTATCTTCTATTTTTATTTTATTTAGGATTATTCTCTTCTAAAAGTGTTGTAAGTTATTAACATATTTGTTCTTGTTTTTTTTGTCATTAGCTTATTATCTTTTTCTAAAAAAGGTAAAATAAGTGGATTAATTAAGTTTCTAATGGTGCTAAAGATGTGTTAGGATGAAAAATAAATATAGAGATAAGTGATTAAAACAAAAAGTGTAATGCAATAAATGATTCAAAATAAAACCATAAATAAAAAATGGCTGAGAGGAGAGAACGGGGGTCTGAGGGAGAGCTATCCCTTGAGGAGGAAGACCTGCGTGTGAGGAGCACCAAAAAACCTAAAGGCATATCGCTTGAGGATGATACCATGGATGATCCTATGGTGGACAAATAAAAGGAAGAGGAGCGTGTTTTGAAGGACCCCCCCTAAGGAACCTGTTAACGCTGAAAAAGGAATGGGTCATTTGCGTAGAAAGACCATTTCTTATAAAGATAAACTTCTCTATATGAATGGAGGTGGGAATGAATCAGATAGTGAGGATGAAGATTGGATTCAACGTCAGAGAAGAGAGGAGGAGGAAGAGGAAGGTGGGGATGACGTCCCTTTTGAAGAAGAAAACCCCTTTTGCCCAGTCTTTAGATTCTCAAAGGCAGAACACAAGGAGGAGTGTAAGAAGTGGAAGTCTTCCGTAATAATTAAACTCCTTGGAAGGAAAAGCAGTGCAAAGTTCCTAAAGACCAGGCTTCTGAGTATGTGGAATCTTCAGGGGAGACAAGAGCTCATTGAACTAGATAATGGTTATCTTTTGCTAAAATGCTTTGATCAAAAAGATTACAACCATGTCCTACAGGGGGGACTTGGATAGTAGCGGGACACTACGTTACCATTCAGAGATGGAGGCCATTTTTTGACCCTTTTGAGGAAACATTCAAACGTATTGCGGTCTGGCTACGCATACCCAGCCTTCCCATGGAGTTTTTTTCATCACACATGCTTTGGAGGATTGGCTGCCTCCTAGGAAGACCTTTGAAGATGGACCAGAATTCCATAAGGAAAATCGAAGTTGGAGACGAAGAGAGCACAGAGAAAGCAAGATTCGCACGTATATGCGTAGAAGTGGATCTGCGTAAGAGTCTGATTTCTAAGATCAACATTGCGGGCAAAGTTTACCAGGTAGCATACGAAGGCTTGCACTTGGTGTGCTTCGAATGTGGCCAATATGGCCATCGTAGGGAAGCTTGCAAGGGGAATACAATGGAAAACCCCTCAACCCAGAACAACCATGAAGGTGACCAAGGTAACCCAAACCCCATTAATGGTGAGAAGACGCAGAAGACTACGGACGATGATGTGTTTGGTGCCTGGATGGTGGTCCAACGCTCATCCAAAAGTAGACGCCCTAAAGCGGTTCCGGCGAAGCAAGCGGTTCAAATCATCGTCAACCGGATGGAACCCGAGGCTGGTGGCGGTGTTGGTCAACAGATAACAAAAGGTGCTGGCAGACCTGTGCAGGAAAGCGGTCCGAGGAATCAGAAGGAACCTGTCCATGCTACATCCGAGCAGGTGTCAGTAAAGGAGGCCATGACTAGGTCTATTCCCAGCATAAAGAAGTTGACCTTGGGGCATCATACAAAAGGGAAGTCAGGACAAGAACCATCGTTGGGAAAAGGGAAACATGGGAAAACAGTTACTGAAAAACCTAAAGCTAAGAATAGCCTTGGGGGACCCACCACCTCGCAAGGCAATCACGAAAGTAGCAACCTTTTTGGTACTTGCATGCAGACGCATGCCCCTCCGAAATGTCCTTCGCAGCCTGTTACCTAAAGCTCTTTGGATAATAGACAAAACAGAGAAGATGGCTGTTCGGCCATGCAGGACAAGAGAGAAGCAGATATCCTTAATTTGATGAAACATGCTTCTCAGGAGCAGAATGTACGTTGGTGCTGTCATCGCCAGGGGGTTCCTCAATCCCCAACACGTTACTCAATTGACCTTCCCTCATGGGGCCCACAGCTGTCTGTTGTTCTTGCATTATTTTTATGCTTGGTTTAGACGTTTTGTCTTTAGTTACTTTCCAAACTTTATTATTTTTTATGTCTATGAACGTTTGCAGTTGGAATTGTCGTGGGGCAAGTAAAAAAGGCCTACCCATGCTAGTAAGAGATCTTACTAAGGAGTATAATATTCAAGTTCTTGCACTTATGGAAACCAGAATTGGAGGCATCAAAGTGTCCAGGAAAATTAAAAAACCTTGGTTTTGATGGTATTTTCAAGCAGGACCCCGTTGGCTTTTCCGGTGGCTTCTGGTTGTTATGGAATAAACGGGATGTCTCTGTCGCGGTGGTGAGCACAAACCACCAATTTATCCACACTAAGGTGACATGGTTGGGATCGAATAAGGAGGAGATGATTTCTTTCATATACGCCAGTCCAAGAAGGGTTGAACACAGGATGCTATGGGAAGAAATCCCTAACCTGCGTCACGGAATGAACAGGCCTTGGGTTCTCATAGGCGATTTTAATGCCTATATCAGTAATGGGGGAAAAAAGGGTGGAGCCCCTCCTTGCCAGGGAGCTATGAGGGAGTTTGGAGAATGCATTCTTCAAAATAACCTCATCGATATTGGCTATACGGGTCCTAGCTTTACGTGGAGAAGGGGTCAGCTTCTAGAAAGACTTGACCATGCCCTCACCAATTCTGCTTGGATTAACTGTTTCCCATCCAGATCTGTTAAGCATCTGCCATTTTTTAGCTCGATCACCGTCCCATCCTCCTTGGT